GCTGTAACGTCTGCAGCTGTTACATCTACAGCAGGTAAACAGACTGTAACGCCGGCAGCAGGTAAACAGACTGTAACGTCTGCAGCGGGTAAATAGACTGTAAGGCCTGCAGCAGGTAAACAGACTGTAACGTCTGCAGCGGGTAAACAGACTGTAACGCCTGCAGCTGTTACATCTACAGCAGGTAAACAGACTGTAACGTCTGCAGCAGGTAAACAGGCTGTAACGTCTGCAGCAGGTAAACAGACTTTAACGCTTGCAGCTGTTACATCTACAGCAAGTAAACAGACTGTAACGTCTGCAGCAGGTAAACAGGCTGTAACGTCTGCAGCGGGTAAACAGACTGTAACGTCTGCAGCAGGTAAACAGACTTTAACGCTTGCAGCTGTTACATCTACAGCAAGTAAACAGACTGTAACGTCTGCAGCAGGTAAATAGACTGTAACGTCTGCACCGGGTAAACAGACTGTAACACCTGCAGCTGTTACGTCTACAGCAGTTAAACAGACTGCAACGCCTGCAGTAGGTAAATAGACTGTAACGTCTGCACCGGGTAAACAGACTGTAACACCTGCAGCTGTTACGTCTACAGCAGTTAAACAGACTGCAACGCCTGCAGTAGGTAAACAGGCTGTAATGCCTGCAGCAGGTAAACAGGCTGTAACGTCTGCAGCAGGTAAACAGACTGTAACGCTTGCAGCTGTTACATCTACAGCAGGTAAACAGACTGTAACGCCGGCAGCAGGTAAACAGGCTGTAACGTCTGCAGCGGGTAAATAGACTGTAACGTCTGCACCGGGTAAACAGACTGTAACACCTGCAGCTGTTACGTCTACAGCAGTTAAACAGACTGTAACGTCTGCAGCAGGTAAACAGACTTTAACGCTTGCAGCTGTTCCATCTACAGCAAGTAAACAGACTGTAACGTCTGCAGCAGGTAAATAGACTGTAACGTCTGCACCGGGTAAACAGACTGTAACACCTGCAGCTGTTACGTCTACAGCAGTTAAACAGACTGCAACGCCTGCAGTAGGTAAACAGGCTGTAATGCCTGCAGCAGGTAAACAGGCTGTAACGTCTGCAGCAGGTAAACAGACTGTAACGCTTGCAGCTGTTACATCTACAGCAGGTAAACAGACTGTAACGCCGGCAGCAGGTAAACAGGCTGTAACGTCTGCAGCGGGTAAATAGACTGTAACGTCTGCACCGGGTAAACAGACTGTAACACCTGCAGCTGTTACGTCTACAGCAGTTAAACAGACTGTAACGCCTGCAGCAGGTAAACAGGCTGTAATGCCTGCAGCTGTTACATCTACAGCAGGTAAACAGACTGTAATGCCGGCAGCAGGTAAACAGGCTGTAACGTCTGCAGCGGGTAAATAGACTGTAACGTCTGCACCGGGTAAACAGACTGTAACACCTGCAGCTGTTACGTCTACAGCAGTTAAACAGACTGTAACGCCTGCAGCAGGTAAACAGGCTGTAATGCCTGCAGCTGTTACATCTACAGCAGGTAAACAGACTGTAACGCCGGCAGCAGGTAAACAGGCTGTAACGTCTGCAGCGGGTAAATAGACTGTAACGTCTGCACCGGGTAAACAGACTGTAACACCTGCAGCTGTTACGTCTACAGCAGTTAAACAGACTGTAACGCCTGCAGCAGGTAAACAGGCTGTAATGCCTGCAGCAGGTAAACAGGCTGTAACGTCTGCAGCAGGTAAACAGACTGTAACGCTTGCAGCTGTTACATCTACAGCAGGTAAACAGACTGTAACGCCGGCAGCAGGTTAACAGGCTGTAACGTCTGCAGCGGGTAAATAGACTGTAACGTCTGCACCGGGTAAACAGACTGTAACACCTGCAGCTGTTACGTCTACAGCAGGTAAAAAGACTGTAACGCCTACAGCAGGTAAACAGACTGTAACGCCTGCAGCAGGTAAACAGGTTGTAACGTCTGCAGCGGGTAAAAAGACTGTAACGCCTGCAGCAGGTAAACAGGCTGTAACGTCTGCAGCGGGTAAATAGACTGTAACGTCTGCACCGGGTAAACAGACTGTAACACCTGCAGCTGTTACGTCTACAGCAGGTAAACAGACTGTAACGCCTGCAGCAGGTAAACAGGCTGTAACGTCTGCAGCAGGTAAACAGACTGTAACGCCTGCAGCTGTAACGTTTGCAGCAGGTAAACAGACTGTAATGCCTGCAGCAGGTAAACAGGCTGTAACGTCTGCAGCGGGTAAATAGACTGTAACGTCTGCACCGGGTAAACAGACTGTAACACCTGCAGCTGTTACGTCTACAGCAGGTAAACAGACTGTAATGCCTGCAGCAGGTAAACAGGCTGTAACGTCTGCAGCGGGTAAACAGACTGTAACGCCTGCAGCTGTAACGTTTGCAGCAGGTAAACAGACTGTAATGCCTGCAGCAGGTAAACAGGCTGTAACGTCTGCAGCGTGTAAACAGACTGTAATGTTGTCTTGGAGCTTCTGTTTTCACCACA